CAACGGATCCCTAGTCTACAATCCATTCGTGGAGCAGGTGCTCAGCTTTCAGTGACAGGGCAGGCAGACACCAGTGATGTTGCTCAACACCGAAGCAGCTCGAGTACAGACAGGAACAAAGGTTATCGAGACCTAGAATGTTTCACGATGATGCCAATCCAGTCTGTGAAGACCAGTGGCTGCAGAATGCTGCAGACTTCCCACGTGCCCACTGGGCTCAAGGTGTCACTGCAGGGTCGGGTGTCAGATACGCACACGGTGCCGATCTGCTACAGCACTCGTTTGCGTATGTCTGCGCCTCCATCCCAGGCGAGCTCGTTAGCTTCAACGCCAAGACACTAGGCTCGGGACGCGCTTTAGCAGGTAATGGATAGTTGGTGAGTCAGCTGATGGTGCAGTGGAGGCCATAGCCGCAGCCAGAGGATTCACGGGAACAAAAGCTGAGTTTTGCGAAGAGAGAGTACTTTAGAGTGGTTTGAGAGCCATCGAAGCGTGCGTACAAACCTTTGGAGACATGAGCAACTCTCGACGGAAGCAGACGTAACCGTCACAGCATGAAGCATTGAGTTGAACTTCTCATGACCCAGTGGCTCAGTTCGTTCTCATTGTTTCTCATTGCGACAAAAGGTACATGTTCATGTCGTGACGAGATACGATCAAGCTCACATGCAGTTTGAACCTTGCAAGCTTCGAGATCCAGCAACATGAGTTCAGCATGAATTCAACATGGCAATCACAAAGTCAACATTCGTCCCCAATCGCATGCATCCTCAGTCATTACGGCCCTGGGCCGTCAAGACCGTGAAGCATGGGTAAGGACCGATCTGTTGTTGACATTGAGGAGAGCATCACCAAATTGAGATTGTTGAACTTAAGTTCGTTGAGTAGCCAAAGTCTAGTTTCTGGCTGTCCCACTTTTGCTGGACAGTCTTGTCTAGATCTCAGCTGTGCCAGTAAGTAGCTATCTAATGCGTTTTCCCGATTATTTTCCCTAGGCAGTCCAAACTGGCCATTTCTCAGATTCGAGCCTTACCATGCGTACCAAGCTCTCAATCTCGCCTCAGAAAGCTGGCTATGTGGACCCGGATGATGAGCGATTGCAGAAGGCAATCATAGTCGTTGTGCACTTGCAGGTTGAAGCCTGCAGAGAGCAGTACAGTTTCATGACCCAGGGCCGGCAACAGCTCATTGAAGAGTCTGCGAAGTGGCGTGGACCCCACATCAGCAAACGGCCTGTGCAAGTCCAGCGTGGAGGCGGCGACATCCATTTACATTGACATTTCAACCTACACACAACATCACGCAACTCACTCAATTCGAGTTCAAATCTAAGGAAGGGGCCGAGCCACAAGGAGCGCCAGCAAGAGCGGCTTGTGGCTCAGACTCTTCAGACAACAAGGCAATGAGAGTATTGAGTAATGCATTGCTTGGCAACTCGTGCTTGCGACCATTCTTTGACATCAGGAAAACGATGAAGAATCGAGGTAAGCAGCTGCAGGAGAAGGCTCCCGGAGTGTAATGAGCCAATGCGCACAATCATGCGTCAGGCATCATGCATTTAATGCAAATCGTATGGATTGTACGGATTGTACGGATGTGCTTTCAGTTCAAATATCTTAGGCCTCTTGGAAGCAGCAAGCTGCTGGCTGGTTCTTCATTCTATTTATGTGCGGCATAGGCATTGGCCTGCCCCATGCCTTCCTGTAGCTGTTACAAGTACAGGTGTTGTACATGTCTGCATTCGCGGTTTTCCGTGAGGCTTCTTCTCGTTTCTATTCTCGCTTTCGGACATCATCATTGGTGGCAGCCTTGTTTTGTGGTTCTTTGCGGGATTTCTAGTTTTCAAATTCGTGTGACATTTGGCGAAATTGCCCACCCCCCCCCCCCTCGCCCCTCCTCCCCACCGACCCATCACACCACCGCCTGCATGCGCACCTGCTCCTCGCCCGGGCACTCATCACACCTCGTCCAAAACTACGCGATCCTGTTGAACACAAGGAAGGCACAAGGTCCAAATATGTCCAAATGCTTATTCCACACCAGGCACCAAAAAAACAATGACCCTCATGATAGTAGAATCTGTAGAGTTGATGGAGTAGCATCATCCGTGAGGCTGCATGTCATCGGGGCTGTGTTCCCGAGCTTTTTTTGCTGCGACTAGCTCCAAGGGGCGACTAGATGCCTGAAATGTTGTTCGCTTTTGTTTGTTTCTTTGGGTTTTCAGTTGTTTTCGTTGTGTTCCAAAGAAGTACAGGGCTTTCATATGTAACACTCGCTGGTCAACGTAAACTGACTGAGAAGATCATTTGCACGCAGCACGCTGCTCTAAAACACACAGCCCGTGCATGCCCCTTGACACCTCGGCGGCAACACCACATCCGACTCCCCCATCCGCCTCCAGCCGTGATTTCGTACCGGTAGTGCGTGCTATAGTCTCCACTCCACAGCCAGCTGCAGGAATTCAGCAGCAACAGCCCGCAAGGGTATGCGCAGAGACAGACATCAAAACGGCTTTTCCAAAACGAGAAGGCTGTCAGATCTGTTACCATGCGTGGAAGGACCTTGAAGGTCTGACTGCGGGGAAACAGGGAAGAATTCACTGAGGAGTCTCGATCTTAATCTTTGCTTCCAGGTTGTCAGGCGGCAAAGTGTTCAACGAAGTGAGGTTCGTCTCCAGCGATGTGGTGAAGAAAGTTTTGGCATGTGACTCGTAAACGTCGTAAACTTGCAAAGTGTGCATGTATGCATCCCAAGCTGTGCTCCCGAGCGCGGAAAGTTCACCAAAAAAAAGCGAAAAGTTTCACGCATGTATTGTTGGCCCGCCCTGATTTAACGCTACTCGGCCCGGCCTGGCGGCCCGCGGCCCGCGGCCCGTGGCCACGGCAGCGGCGAAGCAAGTTCGCCACGTTCTGGTGGTGGGAGTAGGGAATGGAGAAGGGGGGGCGTTGGGGGGTTGGGGGGTTGGGGGGTTGGGGGGGTTGGGGGGTTGGGGTTGGGGAGGGGACGGGGGGGGAAGGAGAAGAGGAGCCTGGGAGGGAAAATAGGGAAGACAGGGCGGGGCGGGGTTGGTGGTCATCCCTTTATTGAGGCGCAGCGTCTGCTCCCGTATGCCGGTCTGGGGACTCATTCTGCCCACAGAACCGCCGCAGAACCTGTGGATTAGAGGTGGGCCGCGGTTTTTTTCACAAAAAAAAACATGCCGTGTGATGTTTCTCGTCCGGAAAACAGCATCTTGTTGCCAGATGCAACTTCCCGGGCATCGGGCTGCATCGCATGAACAAAAAATCGAGCTTCTGCGTGCAAGAAACATACTCGGGGCGCCGCTTCAACTTCGCGTGCTACAACACAACCCACTGCCACACATGCTTTTTCTGTTGAGCAATGACTGCCAGGCCACGGGGTCTGAAGTTGCAACTCTTTAGACTGATCAGATAGATATTGTATGAACTGTATGTGTGCTATTGTTGCTGTTCTTCTTTTTGCGAGGCCGCCATTAACATAGGGGTGATGCATCGGCAGTTGATGTTGCCGACACACTGCGGTGTTGATGTTGCCGACACACTGCGGTGATTGCGGCGAGCGGGACTGTTTTCCGATTCCAGCGTGTCCGAGGCAACGGCGTTGTCGCTCTTGATGCCCAAGACACGGCAAAGTTGAAGGCTTGTGGGAAATCAATTTTGAAAACACATGATAACACAATTCTACTTTGCTCTCCACTTGCAGAAAGTGCTTTTCGGCGGCGATCCGTGGCTTATCTACTGTGGCTTACCCGGACCATGCCGATCCACACTGGTGGATGCCTGAACTGCGATGCAAATGAGGCATAAATGACGAGACCGTCAATCAACGTTTGCCTCAAATTCTGGAGGCCGGAAGTGCTTGAATCGTTGTTGTGGATGTCACGGACTTGAGATACTTGAGTCGCATTGGTTGCTCAACTCAGCAGGAGTCTGGCAGAAGTCTCTGGCGGAGCTTGGGGTAGCTTGGCTATAAAGACGCTTCATGCCTCACGCAAACGAGGGCATCAGAGACCTTTCTAGATGTTTGTGAGTTTTCACAGAACTCCATGGTGACATTCCGATTACGTCGGCTACTTTCTGAAAGCGTGCGGCAATCACCTTGGCCCTAGCAGCAACAACAACAAGCACTAACACAATTTATATGAATACAGTGTAGGCGCCAGCTGGCCTGCCCTCCGTTTGATGTCGTTCTCTTTCTCTCTCTTTCTCTCTCTTTCTCTCTCTTTCTCTCTCTTTTTCTCTCTCTCTTTCTCGCCCTTGTTTCTTAGAGAATCTTTTCTCTCCATCTCTCTCTGTCTGACCGATTGCCTACAAATAAAAATGCAAGTCTACATAAGACACCGAGGTTCCCATCGTGTCTGCCTGTTTGACCCACATCATGAGCATCAGTGGCTCAGGCCCAGGTAAGGGAAGCTCTCCAAACCCGGAGCCCGAGTGCCTTTTCGGGATGGCACTCCCTTCACATACAGCCAAAAACACCGTAGAAACGAGTGTCCAAAACGAACCACACCGCACAGGGTGTTGTGAGCTGAGGGGTTAAACCAACTTTTGCAACACCTTGAGCCCTAGCCGCCCTACCCCTTTGCTTTAGTTTTGGTAAGCTCTGAAATCGGTATCACATATCCGGTATCACATGGATCGAAGTCAAAAGAGTGAAATGCCTTTGAGTGTTTGGCTTTTTGCATTGGCCCATCCCAGACCCTTCAGGCCTTGCTAGGGGGGGGGGGGGTGCAAGGTTTCGTGGGGAGAGGCAGAGCTGTATACCCCATTGCAAATTCAGGAATTTACATTTTTCAGTAAGATTTCCTTGGTTTAAGGTTGGCCGGTGAGGGGATGTCACCGTGAAATTCCGTGAACCGTGCGAAAGAAAATTATTTTGTGGCGAAAGTTTTGACGAAAGTCAACCTTGGGCTCAGTTCCAGAATTTTGTTTTGGAGAAGAAAATGCAGTGCAATATTGGCAAAACCTCCGCGAAAGTCCCATGCAAGTTTGACGTTTCCCTGGAAGCCATCCCTGGACGCTCCAATCCTGTCCTTCTCACCCCTCCTCAATGCTCAACCCTAGACAGAGAGGCACAAAACAACTTCCAGAATTTTGGGGTTGAGAAGTGCGTGCGATTAGGCGCGCGAAAGTTCCGCAGAAGGATTTTCCGTGAAAGATCCATTTCCGGGACAGGAATCTAAATCCACGGCCAAATAGTTCAAAATCAAACGGTTTGAGCCTGATTGTTTACATCGTGCATTTGACTTAGATTGCTTAGATCCAATGTAAACGGTTTAGATGTACTCGCTTTGCCTCGGCACACGGTGGCAAAATCGGTGGTTGAAACTTGGACGGCCTTGCCGCCGCTTGCCCAGCCCGGCCCAGGCTCCCCGCGGCCCCCGGATGCAAACGTACTAGGTTCCCAAAAGGCCGAAGTAGAATGCTCCTTTTTTTTGTAGAAAGGTTCACTTTCTCACAGAGTTGAGACATGCTCGATTTCATTATGTAAAAGGTGTAAGTTGCTTAGAAGTGTTTCAGGCTGTCCCCGGCGGTGGTTGCGATAGGACCAGAGCAAAGAGAGTTTCCACAGATATGTTTTCATTTCAGGCTTGCAATTTGTCTTTGGGGAGGTGAGGGACCCCATGCCTTGCATGCCCGCGGGGCGCCCAGCGCGCGCGCCCGCCCGCGCGAGCGCCCCCCCCCCCACGCGCCCGCGCGCGCGCCCCCCCGTACGCGCCCCCCCCGCTCGTGCGCCCCCCCGCGCGTGCGCCCGCCCGCACATGCGCGCCCCCCCGCGCGGGCCCCCCCCCCGTGTGCGCACCCCCCCGCGCGCGCCCCCTGTGCGCGCGCCCCCGCTGTGCGCGCGCCCCCCTGTGCGCGCCCCCCTGTGCGCGCGCCCGCGCGCGCGCGCGCCCCCCGCGCGCGCGCCCCCCCGCCCCGCGCCCCCCCCCCTGCGCGCCCCCCCGCCCGCGCGCCGCGCGCCCCCGCGCGCCTTTGTAACATGTGCATGTGAGAGCGAGAGAGAGAGAAAGAGAGAGAGAGAGAGAAGCCTACAACGCCGTGGACCACCGCTACCAGAAGATGTGGATTCGTGACACATGAGGGGGCCAGTGTAATGACTAAGGCATAGGCTTTCGGCTGAGAGCGCAGGGCACAGAGGGGGGAATGATCGGAACGCAGGCTTTGAGGGACATGTCAGGTCAGCATCTTGTTTGGAAAAAAGGGGGGGGGGGATCGTGAACCCCAGCCCGCGGCTCTAAGGCAAGGGGGTGCACAGGCAAACCCGTAATTTCACCCAGAAAGTGGCCCGTGAACAACGCGGAAGTCACGCCCAACAAACCGTGGACTTCGCGCGCCCCTGGGGGCGGCCTCCTCTTTCGGGGGGGGGCCAAGCGTGCAGAGAGAGAGAGAGAGAGAGAGAGCGGGAGAGATGGAGAGAGGGAGAGAGGGAGAGAGGGAGAGAGGGAGAGAGGGTTGCACGGTGACAGCGCTTGTACTTGTTTGTTTCGCAAGACTTTCAACGTGTTAGGGGCACCCGACTCGTGACTCGGGCTTGGTCTTTTGTCAGTGGCGCTGTGCTTGTGATTTGTGATTCAAACTCAGTCAGTTTGCCAAGAGCTAGCAGGATGTGTTTGGTCGTGGCCTTGTATACTTGCGATTCCTCTTTGGGCAAAAGAATTCTTGCCACAATGTTAAGGCAATGATGCTTGGCTTGGGGCAAAAGTTTCTTCCAAAATGTAGGGGTTACGGTGTTTGTGAGTTTTCTTTCCTAGAAAACTCATCCCAACATGTTAGGGAGACGCTGTCTTTAAAAGGAATGAACTTGGAGCTGGAGGATGCTCCCAAGATGTTCGGCCTTGACAGATTTGATGTTCGTGCATTCTCCTAGTCTGTCACTGCCTCGGATTGATTGTTCTGGGCTGACACTCATCGCAGATCACGCCCAGGCTAAGTGTTGGCCTTCTGCGATGTCGGAGACTCGGTGCACAGCCACTGCGACACAGAGGGCTCGTGCACCAACAAATAATTGGCAAAATAAAGATGCGCCGCAACAGGTTGGGATGAGACGTCTAGCGGTCGGAGCGTGGCTCAGCGGCTTTAAACTCAGGTCTTCGAGGCTGCAATTCACAAGCGCATGATGCCTTGTGGAGGTTTAAACTGAGTCTGAAGCCACCATTGTCTTTTGTCGTGGCAAACGGCAACAAGCCCCGACTTCTCCAACTCACTGGCATCTCCAAAGTGGAGGACCTGGCATGGAATTTCGGCACCATGCAAAATTCTTACTTCTTTCCCGCAGGATTTGGAAAGGAGAATAAAGCCGGCACTCAAGCTTGAGACGTGCCTGCATTCGTTCGCTACTTTTAGCACCGACACAGTGTTATCGTGTGCATTGCTGCTGCTGCGGCTGCTGCGGCTGCTGCTGCTGCTGCTGCTGCAGCAGCTGCTGCTGCTGCAGCTGCTGCTGCGGCTGGGTGTGGGGGTGTGGCTTTGGGCATGAACTTTCTGCGATTTTCTGCTTGTCTTGGCATCGCGAAAACAGAGTCGGTTGAATCCAGGGCTGTAAAGGATGGGTATGGTGAATGTCCGCACATGCTGAAGAAGAGAATGTCTAAACGCACAGCTTTATGAGGGGCGGGGTGACAGGTCAAGACAAGAATCATGTGCTTGCACATTTGCAGTTGCATATTGTGCAGTGCCGTTGTTCTGATGTGGGGTTGGTGTGATGAAACTGGCTTGAGTGTGAGTGTGTGAGTGTGAGTGTGTGAGTGTGAGTGTGAGTGAGTGTGAGTGAGTGAGTGTGAGTGAGTGTGAGTGAGTGTGAGTGAGTGTGAGTGAGTGTGAGGGAGTGAGTGTGAGTGAGTGAGTGTGAGTGAGAGTGTGTAAGTGTGCGCGGGTAAGTGTGCGCGGGTGAGTGTGCGCGGGTGAGTGTGCGCGGGTGAGTGTGCGCGGGTGAGTGTGCGCGGGTGAGTGTGTGCGGGTGAGTGTGCGCGGGATGCGCGGGTGAGTGTGCGCGTGAGAGTGTGAGAGTGTGAGAGTGTGAGAGTGTGAGTCTCTGTGTCTCTGTGTCTCTGTGTCTCTGTGAGAGTGTGAGTCTCTGTGTCTCTGTGTCTCCGTGTCTCCGTGTCTCCGTGTCTCCGTGTCTCCGTGTCTCCGTGTCTCCGTGTCTCCGTGTCTCCGTGTCTCCGTGTCTCCGTGTCTCTGTGTCTCTGTGTCTCTGTGTCTCTGTGTCTCTGTGTCTCTGTGTCTCTGTGTCTCTGTGTCTCCGTGTCTCCGTGTCTCCTGTGTCTCTGTGTCTCTGTGTCTCTGTGTCTCTGTGTCTCTGTGTCTCTGTGTCTCTGTGTCTCTGTGTCTCTGTGTCTCTGTGTCTCTCTGTGTCTCTGTGTCTCTGTGTCTCTGTGTCTCTGTGTCTCTGTGTCTCTGTGTCTCTGTGTCTCTGTGTCTCTGTGTCTCTGTGTCTGTGTCTCTGTGTCTGTGTCTGTGTCTGTGTCTGTGTCTGTGTCGCTGTGTCTCTGTGTCTCTGTGTCTCTGTGTCTCTGTGTCTCTGTGTCTCTGTGTGGGCGGTGTGCGGAGCTGCGTGGTGTGGGGGGTGTGTGGGCGGGTGTGTTGGGGCGGTTTTGCGGGTGTGCGGAGCGGGTGTGCGGCGTGTGCGGGCGGGTGTGGCGGGCGGGCGGGTGTGCTGGCGGGCGGGTGCGTTGGCGGCGGGTGTGCGGGCGGGCGTGTGTGGGGCGGGTGTGCGTGCGGGCTGGTGCGTGCGTGGTGTGCGGGCGGTGGTGCGGGCGGGTGTGCGGGCGTGCGGGGGGTGTGGGGCGGGGATGCGGCGTGTGCGGGCGGGTGTGCGGGCGGGTGTGCTGGCGGTGTGGTGCGGTGTGCGGGCGGGTGTGCGGCGGTGTGTGCGGGCGGTGGTGGCGGGCGGGTGTGCGGGCGGGTGTGCGGCGGGTGCGGGCGGGTGTGCGGGGCTGGGTGTGCGTGCGGGGGTGCGGGCGGGTGCGGCGGGGGTGCGGGCGGGGCCGGGTGGGATGCGGGGCGGGGGTGCGGGTGTGCGGGTGTGTGGCGGGTGTGCGAGGTGTGCGGGTGCGGTGGTGCGGGTGTGCGGCGGCGCGTGTGCGGGCGGGTGTGGGGGTGTGGGTGCGGGTGGCGGGGGTGGTGTGGGTGTGGGTGGTGGGGTGTGCGGGTGTGCGGGTGTGGGTGTGGGGTGGGGGCGGGTGCGGGTGTGCGGTGGGTGGGGGGTGGGGGCGGTGGGTGCCGGGTGGGTGTGCGGGTGTGGGTGCGGTGGGTGTTCGCATGGGTGTGCCGGTGGGTGGTGGGTGGGTGTGCGGGTGGGTGGTGGTGGGTGTTTCGCATGGGTGTGCGGGGGTGTGGGTGGGTGCGGGGTGGCAGGTGTGTGGTGGGTGGCGGGTGGGTGTGCGGGTGGTTTGCGGGTGGGTGTGGGGGTGTGGGGGGTGTGTGGTGTTGGGGTTGGTAGGTGGGGGGGTGTGGGGTGTGGGGTGTGGGGGGTGTGTGTGGGTGTGGGGGTGTGTGGGTTGGGGGTGTGGTGGGTGTGGATGTGGGTGTGTGTGGGTGTGTGTGTGTGGGTGGGTGTGGTGGGGGTTGGGTGTGTGTGTGGGTTGGGGGTGTGCTGTGTTGTGTGTTTACCGCGTTGGCCCGACGGGCGCGGCACGGGCGGTGGGCGGATGGCTGGGCTGCGGGCCAAGCCGAAAGCAAGACCCCACATGGTGATGTGTGGGAATCAGATCAAATCGAGCCGAGTCGAGCCCTAATAAAAGCTTATGTGCAGATCATCGCCATAAACCCCCGGCTCGCCGGACCCTTTGGCCCCGACCTTCTTGTTGGGGATCTTGCCGGCTGCCGCGACCATCCTTAGGGGACACAGAAATACGCAGATGAAGCTGCACGCCGAGCCAATGTGCCCGCAACTCATGCTTTTTTTTGCGGCTCGCACATGTTCATCAATGATGACCAAGCACCTTGCCCTGCCGACGAAATGCATGCAACATGCGGCCACAGCGCACAAGCTCCAAACTTGCCACAGGCAAGCTTTCAAGGTTCCTTCCAACACATATCCCCTTTTGTTTGTCCAAGTTTCCGATATCTGCAAAGGACCTAAGTGCACTCCATAAGGCGCCTGTATTTGCTCATGATTTACTCTTACTTTCTAAATAGCATAAACCGTATATATCAAACGACGACTATTTCTGAGGACCTATACTATGTGTTTACTTAGAAACGATTGTACAGTCAGAAGTCCGAATAACAAGTCTTACATTTTGATTACTTCCCACACACGCCTCCCAAGCGACACACTCTTCTACCCTCAGCCCTGACTCCTAAACCTTCAAAGCCTAAAGCCCTATACTAAAAGCCTACAGCCCAAGAACCCCAACCCTAAAACCAACCCACACCCACAACCACAGGGAGGGGGGGGGGTGTCCGGGTTCCGTTGAGCAAAGGCTCGCTGAAGTGTTTGTTACGACTCGTTTTTAGTTGTTTTTAGATGACGGTCGTAACAGGTTTGAGTGGGCAGCCGTTTGACATGACTCCGGTGTTCCTCTGTAAAACTGAGGCCCATAGAGAACCATAGTGTATCGCGCTTTCGGTAAATTTTGGTGCCGCAGTGTGTGCCGCGTGGCCGCGGTGTCCGCGGTGTGCCGTTGTGTGCCGCGGTGACGTTTGCAGCTGCTTCAATGTGCTCTGCTACTACTGCTACTAACTCTCGGCTGCGACGATGTTTTGGTATGCGTGGCCAGCAGCACGCCGACTCAGGAAATACCTTCAATCGACGCTTTGAAAAAAGCCGCGTCGCTCAGGCAACTATAGAGATCTGCAGAATCGCAACATGTGCCCTCACATGTCGTGCCAAAACAATTGGCAGACCTTGTTGCTCTCACATCAATCACGCTTTGAGGGTTTACCACGGCAGGTGACGTGGGGCATCAGAATGGTTCTTTCGGAGCGTCATAACGTGCGTTTGCAACAGGTGACTTCAGACATGATCCGGGCTTTGTCGGTCCATCATTTTCCTTCAGCGATGCTTTCTTGCCAGATCATGATAGGGCCTTGATCCAAGAGTTCTACACTAAGCCCCAGCAGAATGAGCAACGAAGCGCAAGATCGCATAGGTGGTCAACCTTTCTCACTTCACGTCGGTCTGTGTTGTCATCGACACAAGTGCAGACCTTTGCATTTTTTCTGAAGTTTCAGAGTCGTCTGTGCTTAGTCATGGACGAAGACTGACTTGAACTCAAGTTGTGAGACCTGAGATTTTGGACCCAGAATATGCACAGCGGGACACCCGCCTCTCAATGTGTTGAGGCATGCTAGTGAGCTAGTGATATCGTATAAAGTAATGAAATACAGATTCAAGCTGGCGCATCGTTCGGACAGGCCGTTGCAGGAGAAGTTCCGTGGGCTAAGCTTGTGTCGCTTGACCCATCATTCTGGTGCTCCCGCTGTGTTTTGTCGCACATCTGCTGAGGAAATTTGAGGAACGCACTGATCGGCTACTTTGCTTTCAACACTGACGATTGGCTCTCTAGACATTCTTTTGTCACGGTTTGTCACGATGGCAGCACTTGATTGCGGAGGCAACTAAAGCTTGAGGAAAGTCTCGTAGCGACCCAAGCAAAGAGGCACAATGCTTCGTGAAATGCTTCTTTGCGGCAGCACAAGCAGAGCAGGTGGCGCCGATGGTATGCCTGACTCGAGACGAATTCGACAGGCACCTGTGTTCGAGCAGATGTTTCTGAAATTGAAGACCCTCTGTCGTTCACGCCCACTTTGTTTCCACACATCATACACAACCTCATGCCAGCCAGTTTCAGCTAGTTGCGAACGCCATCTGCAAGTCCCGCTTCATGCCGAACCCCTTTCAACACACCAGTGTTCAGGTAGGTCTCATTTCGTCTTTGTTTGCCTGTGTCTCGTTTGGTTTCTCAAGCTGCCTCGGACTTGGGGCCAACAGCCGCAAAGCTGTATGCCCCGGCGTCCAGTGCTTTCGTCCGCCCTCCTTATGTAAATTCTCGTTTTTTTGGCGGTCCGTTCTGCATTTGTCGCTTCACGTCCGCGTCCCCGTACCTGGAGACCATGTCGCGGAATGTGGCATGTGAATGATTGTGAATGCAAACTTCTGCAGACACTAGCACATCCCAGCGGCTGGGGATTACCTGCGGAGCGAAAAGTAGGAGCGAAACCGAAGTTGAATTTCCACAGCGTAGCGCAGGCAACAGTGTAACGTGTATTTCCGAACAAACAGCATGGCAGCCACTCTGGCCCCCCGGGGCTCACAGCTGAAACTGTCAAAATGTAGAGGTCCTTTTCCCCAGGTGAACGTGGTAAACCTGTACGTTCGTAAGCATGTCACATATTGACTTGCGTATTGACTGGTGCAGCCTTAGCCCGTTCGCCTCGATCCGTTACCCGAACTATGTCTGATGGCCTGACTGGCAATGTTATCAACTGTTTACATCGGAGAAGTCGGGGATGGGAGTGGCAATCTTGGAC